TGTTGTTGTTGTTGTTGTTGGAGGTGTTTTATTCGCAGACAGCGGCGGAGAAGTTGTGTCTGCTTTGTGTCCTCGGCTGTTCCATCCTCCTCTGGGTTTGTAGCGGATTTTGAAAAGTGGCTGAAGAGGAAGGGGCGGTGACCGAGAGCCTGGCTGCACAAGGACTGGACACACACACACACACAACACACACCACAACACACACACACAGCCTGCCTCCCCCGGACGGAAGTACTCTTTAACATTAAGTTAACAAAGTAGCAATGCACAGTGTAGAGATACTCTGTTGCAAGGTCAAAAACACAAACGTTTTTGGATGTTTTAAAGTTTTAAAAACATGCTTAAAGTACCAAGAATAGACAAATACAAATAGTCTGTATTTGTATGAAGACGGTCTACAAGTATTTATTGTCCTTTCACAGTTTTTACAGCATTTTTACATACATGAAACGATGAGTCCACTGCATTCGACCCATCCTATACATTACTATATATATTGGGAGCAGGGAGCAGCCGAGGGTTAGGCGCCTTGCTCAAGGGCACCTCGGCAGTGCACAGGAGTTGGAACTGGCAGCTGGAGCCGGTGCACACTCCACACTGTGTCCAACAGACTGAGCTACTGCCGCCCCAAAACATTAAGCAGAATGGCCCCATTTCAGATTAATGTTAATTTATATGCAGCCACTTTTACATTAAATAGTGGAGTAAACACAGGTGTTACAGGCTTCGTTCACATTGCAGGCAAAAGTCAGATTTTACTGCTCAATCTAAGCTTTTCAATTCTGATTTGGGCCTGATTCATATGTGTGTTTTTTGTGTGTGTGTGAACACTCATATCAGAATTATACCTCACTAGTGATAGACGGATTCATTTTGAGATGATCGGCCGATGTCTGTGCTCAGGAGTTTTGGGAAAGGTGGGGGAAAAAGTTGGTGTGAAGCCCTGTACCATAACTCTGGTGTAAACATACACATTAATTTCTGATAGAACAGAAGAAAATCATACAGAATTTGTCTTTGTTTTAAAATTGGCATTAAATATCGACATCAGCCATAATGGTCGACCACTATACGTCTCACTACACTGACGTTTGTAATGCGGGTTAGGACTGTAACCTGTTCACACACTGGAATCTGATATGTGGGCCACATTTTAAAAACAATAATGTGAACAGCCAGTTTGAACGTTGCCTAATTAATTAAGGCCCTGTTCCATTTAGTGCAGCAGAGCCTTTCCAGTGACCCTGACTCTGTTTGACCTGAATGGACCAGAACCTTAATTAATATAATTTGCAACTTCTGTGTTCAAACCTACTATTTCATGTCAAAATGGCTGCTGTGAATAAGGGTCTATTGGATTATAATTATTAAAGCGTTAATGTAAACATCACTTTAGTGTTGCAGCTGGTAGAGGTGGGGCTAATTATAACTACTTAATACATTTAATCTGCTTGGTTGCTTGTAAATTTTCTCTGGGATCAATTTAAGTTTTATGGAACATCATCAAGGTTTCTATTATTATTAGGGGTTTTCGAGTCTAATGCTATTCATTTAAACATAGTCATGCATCAGTGGTGGAATGTAACTTACTAAGTACATTTACTCAAGTACTGTTCTTAAGTACAGTTTTGAGGTACTTCCCTTAAATATTTCCATTTTATTCCACTTTACACTACATTTTGTTAAGACATATTAAAATATTAGAACTTTTACATTTATAAAAACAGGGTCATCTTATAAAACAGAACAGATTGTAAAAGATTAAACAGTTTCAAACCATTTTGACTTGTGACCTAAAAAAAAACAGTGTCTAGTTGTGTCTATTTGTCATGATCCAATATTTCAGCCAGCATTATGGCACCTAGCACGTAGGTAATTTCAAACTGTGGGATTCACCCATATAACTACCCCTATGTTTTGCACTTTCTTGCACAAGGAAGTAAAATAGTCAGTCTCATATGGCAGAGCACAGTGTATACACTCTACACAAAGTATTCTGCCAGAAAACTGCAGGCTATTTACTCAAAACATTATATGCTGAACAGAGTTTTGGAATATGACATAACTTTGAGAAAGTTTCTCATCTTCCCTCCTCAGTGCCATGTTTACGTCCCTGGACAACTGTGCTCTCATGACCTGATCATTGACAGAGTAAAGCTGTCAAATAAAAGTAGTGGTGTAGAAGTATAAAGTATAAAATCTAAGTAAAATACAAGTACAGCACTTGACTGAAGTTACTTTCCACCACTGGATCCTGGACGCATAGTACTGATTGGTCTCTAGAGGGTGCCACAATAACAACCTAAATCCATGGATGAGTGACTGAGTGAACTATTTACTCAAGTAGTGTACTTCAGTACAATTTTCAGGTACTCTACTTATGGATATTACATATATTTGACAGCATCAGATGAATATTATACATACCAAGCATGCATTATTGTAGATTAAATTACTTAAAAAGTAAATAAAGGATGTAATATTAACTCTTCCTCCACCAGCTGCAACATTAATTTTTCCTTATATATCAATGAAATAATTAGATTCAATGATATATATAATATAACACCATTAAGGGCCATTCTGGACTATGTTTACTTTTGCTTTTGATACTTAAAATACATTATTTTGTGCTTTTAAAACAGATTTTGTATGTAGGACTTTTACTTGTGGTATCAGTGTATTGTATGTCAAAGTATTTCTTTCATCTCTGCTAAACTCTGCTGCACCAACTGCAATACATTAAAGAAGTTATGATCTGAAAAGTATGACTACAAATCTTACAAGTTGGCAATAGCAAACAGGGTGTTGCCATTTGAATGAATGCCTACTGTGTTCCTGTCAAAGAACTTCAATACCCACAATGCCTTGCAGTGCTCTGTGGTGACCTGTCAGCTGGGAGTGTTCTGTTGTGTCGTTTGGAGTGGCATTATTCGTGGTAGGCCGGATCACCGGTTGTTTGTTCCTGTTTATGGTTTTGCTACATTTAATGCTTTTGTAGTGTTGTTTATACGCTGCTGCACATCAAACACATCGTGCCACATCCCTTTTTTATTTGTCTGCAGTCGCTTTCTGTCATGAATTTGTATCCTTTGTTGTCATGCTACCTGTAAAGAAAAGGCTTTTGTGTCTTTGTTCACTTAGTAGCAGACACAATTTCTCCTTTACTACATGTTTGATTCACTGTATCAAATGGGAACCAATAACAGCAGAGGATTCGATTAGTCTCAGTTGAACGTTGACCTCTTTTCTCCTCTGTGTTTCACAATACTCATGTTGTCAGGAGGAGAGATCTGCTGGATTCTCCCTCAGTTTTAAGATTGAAAAGAAGAAAAGGGAGCACACAGATTTTTCACAGCGGTGCAGATTTTGTTGCTGCAGAAGGAATTCATTTCACTTGAGGCAGGAATGAAGAGAGCGGTGTTATTTCTGATCACTGTCTATGGCTCAGTGCCTGTCATTCTCTACCTGTTCCCCTGGATACTGGGCCATGCCGTATTTGCTCACTTGCGTAAGTAATGTCTGTTAGGACACTGAGTGTTTATTCAATGTACTGTAACTACATGTTAGCTCACTATAAACCAACATTTGTATATTTTAAATGTTATAAACGATAGCTGTTTGTTAAAACAACATAATGCTTATGAAACCAAATAAATAGGTCATACATAGTGTTGTTGTTACTTTGTGAATTCTTATTCTAATGTTTATGCAGAAACACACATTGTATTGAACTGAAGTAGCTTGCTGACCAAGTTGTGTGTTGTAGTTGCAGTGACAATGATGTTATTGTATGCTCTCACATTAATCTCATTGTGAATATTAATTTTACAGTAAGATGTGTATAGATTCAATAAACCTACAAAGATTAACAGTTTGATTTGATATTACACTAGTGGCACAAACAGTGGTGTTCTGAGATGAGTCTTTACATTTCCAAAACATATAATATTCAGACTAAACTTCAGGATAAACAATAGAGTTCGTCTGACCCATTTCTGCTGGGTTCTCAGCAGTGTAACAACAGAGTAGTGTGTTACTAAAACAAAAAACAATAGGATGTAGTGAAACAGATCATTATAACTGCAGCAGATTTTTAACCACATGCATCAGTAATTAGAAGATTCACGACCTTGAACAATATAATAATATATACACGCTTTTATTATAATTTTATTAATATTATTGCCTTGAGTTTATAGTGACAGCTGAAGAGTGACAGGAAAGGGGGGTAGAGAGAGAGAGAAAGGGGATACAGATCAGAG